GCCTGCTGGGACAGTGAAGGGAGCTGCCAAGAAGAAAATTGATGCGTTCGAAACATGGTGCTGGAAGAAAGCTTTGCAGATCCCCTGGACCGACAAAAAGACAAATGGATGGTTGCTAGATCAAATCCAGCCAGAACTTTCCCTGGAAACAAAAAGGATGACACTGAAGCCATTGTAATTCAGGCACATCACGACAAGGCGAGACCCACTGGGGAAGACAATAATGCTGGGGAAAGTTGAAGGCAGAAGAAGACGAGGAAGATAAACGATGGGATGGGTCGATTCCATAAAGAAAGCCACACTGTTGAGTTTACAAGAAGTGAGCAGGGCTGTCAAAGGCAGGATGTTTTAGAGGGCATTCATTCAAAGGGTCGCCATAAGTTGGAGACAACTTGACAACAACAACAAACAGACTGATAATCCGTCTTCCACGGTGGCCAACCAGATACATCCCACGAGCACAAACTCTCACGCCTCTCTTACACCCCGTTCTCGCCAACCAGGGAAGCAGCATCCCCTAAATCCTACCCCCTCATTTGTGCAGTGCCTTCCCCAGAGAGAACTGCCTAGTATCTTCATTGTATTTAGTTAGACCCCAATATCAGACCTACTTCAAGCAGGCATTTTATTTTTAACTGGGTATTCTAATTAGCCTGACTATTAAGAAGGTTCTTTCATATTCTTATACTGTTTCTCTTTTTATATTTTGATATTTTTGTTGAATTTATTGTTTTTTGTTACACTGTTTCTAGAGGATTATAAGCATGCAATCCTATGCATGTGTATACCAGGTCAAGAACCTGAGGATTGCTCCCTAAACCATCCTGAGGGCATAATCTAAATTTAATTAAAATGAGCATTCAGTGGCACCCAGCAGTGGAAGTTCCATGTAGACATTATCACAAATATTCACGGATGCATCTGATCAGATGCATCTGTGAATGCATCTATCACCTCTTCAGATGCACCTGATCCCCTTTTGAATGCATTTCAACTGGTGGTTACCATGACCTCTTAAGGCAGAAAATTCTGCCTGTTAATTATGTACTGTATAAAGAAGTACCTCTACCTTTCACCCTTCAGTCATTGTCCGTCAGTGTCACTGGAGAGGGGGAGGAGGGGGAAACTGTTCCTCATACCATGCTTGAGAAATCTTCATTTCTTCCCTAAACAAATGCCTTAATAGCATGCATGGGGAGGGGTCCGTCCCTGGGACTGAGAGCACAGCCTCTGCAACGCTGCTTCGAATCAAAAGCATGGCATTCTTCAGTCTTGTTTATGTCTCATTTGCTGAAGGGATTGATTGATCTAGCACTTCACGAGAGAAATGCATCTGAGGGTAAATAATTGATCGTAATTTTCCCTGCTTTTGTCTAATGAAGATGTCACTGTTTGGCTGGTGCATTGGCTTTCTGTTAGAACAGAGCATCAGTTGATATTAAACTTTGCAGTAACCTTCTTGGAATAGATTTCTGACTCTGGGATTCATTTAATAAACCCATTAATCATTAGCAGTTTCAAGAAACCTGACAAGCTTTAGAAAAGAAATCAGAAGCCTCTTAGGCCTGGATACACTTGAGCACATCCTCAACTGCAGCAGCAATGACATGAGTCTGCACACGGAGAGAAGCTGTCACTTTCCTGCAAGAAAAGAGGGACAGACAGTAGGACTGCAATCTCCTTTGTTTTTGTTTTTTTTCTGCTGAATCCCACTGTCTGCTGCTCAAAATACCTTGTCAGTGGGTGAATCACCAGTATCCTAGCTAGTTAGTGGATTATTTTTGTCCTGATCTGGTGAAAAATTTAGCCAGATGTCAATCTGTCAGCTCCCCAGAGGATTCTCCAACTTCGTCATAGCGAGCATCTCCTTGTAAAAGAGAAGATGATTGTCTTCACCTCCCAGGTGTCAGCCAAGGCTGGATGAGGTACCATCAAGCCCAGGTCTTGGTTGGTTCACTGCAAATAGGCATTGAAGCCCGGTGACAGCTCCTGCAGGGCACCCAGGGGAGTGAAGCAAGTTTTCTCGCAAAATGTCTGGAGACGATCATTGAGCACTCTGTGCAAGGCGCTTCTGCAGTACTGACTTGGAGGGGCTGCCCCTCTGGCCACTCATTCAGCCTGGCCATGGACTACATGGATCGGGCCATCTGCTGGCAAGAAGAAGCTTGGCTTCCTCCAAGCAGACATACATCACACCTTGAGAACCATCACTTCTAGGTGGTTCAAAGATCCAAATCCATGTCCAAGAAGCCTTGGCATTCTTAACTTGGAATGTTGCTTTGTCTCTTGTATGTGTTGGGAACTGAGTCCAGCACATCTCCATACACCATGGCTGTGCAGAACTGACCATTCCTGGAAGATGCTAACACTAGTGGTGACAGCTGGCAGCAATCTCTTCAAGGGACTCCAGTGCACCTTAAAGATCCACCTCTCTGGGCACATGGCTCCTGCTTGTGTTCCAGTCTGTGACAAGGATGCACAACGGTTCGCCAAAAAGTGGATAAAGGGCCATGTCCTGATGGGCAGTGCCTGGGCTGGCAGCAAACATGGGCAGGACCAGCATCTCCCTCGCGTTCCACACACTCCCATCCTGCCTGCCTGCCTGCCTGCCTGCCTGCCTCTCTCACATGCACAGGAATGCACAGAAAGAATTAGCATGCATGCCTGTGCTTCCTGTGGCAACTCTCCCCGCGCAAGTCTGCCAGACAGGCAGACCTAACCCTGCCCACCTCCTTGCCAGACACAGGGACGGCGGTATGTGCAGATGAATTTCCCCATGCGCAGCCTCCTCCTTCGGCAGGGCTACCCTGAGCACATGGGCTCTCCCAAGCCCCCTCAGTGGTGTGGTGGACCGGGGGAGCACACTTGACCTGGGGAGTGAAGGGTCAGGCCCCCACGCCATACTCCCCATCCCATCTGATGCTCAGTGTCTTGGTGGGCTGCAAACTCGTGGCTTACCTGGAAGGGTGCTGTGCAGGGAGGGTTATTCCTGTGTGCTGCGGGCCCTTAAAAAGTCCTTTTCCTCCAGTCTGTCCAGCAGCAGGATTGGGGGAAGGAGATTATCAGGGGATTTGGCAGACACAGCAGTGAAATTAGGCAGCAGCTTGTGCTCCCACACAGGCCACACTGAATGGCACCAAGGGCCATAGCCTCCCCACGTGGATTTTGTGGTGACGTGGAAATGAAATTCAGATTGAGCAAAGTGCTGTTCTCCGGAATACAACAGCAGGAGGGTGTAAACCTGTCCTTTGTCGCTGCCGCTGTCATAGGGAATGGGACCTGACCTCCATAACCCTACAAATTGAGCGTGTGAGTGTGTTTAATGTGTCCCTGTACAGAAGGGCCTTGTGCTTTTGCGATATTTATGATTTTAACTCACCCTATGCCAGTACACATGTAGTAGTTCCAGCCATTTTCTCTTCCTAGACTTCCTAAAATAACAAGAATAACAGTACTAATAACAGCATCGTTTATTACCTAACAAGTACACTTTCAGTGGGGTTTGGCTTTCTTCCCTTGTTTCTTAAGGCAACCTTTCTCTGTTTGGTGGAGTGAACAGAGCGGTGCAGCAGTGAAGACTGTTACACCCTGTCAGAAGACAAGCCAGGGCCGCGTGAAAAGTGTTGGAATTCTGCATGTAGTGTGAAAGACCAGAGAAAAACAGAGAGGAGGTGTGGTGTTCTGTGTTCGTGCTCCTAATGGTGACTCATTTCATATGCTAACGGTTTTCCATAGAAAACCAGCTACATTAACGCTGTCGGAGGCCAGGGACTGTTTTTCAAGGCTTTAACATCATTCAAGGTGACACCTGTCACTGCTCCTCAGCATCATAATGAATTCAAGAAATAAATTTAAAGCATCCTCTTTGGCTGACTTACGTGTAGCTGGCGAGGCTCCCCTCCCCTCCTCCGCCATTTAATCAGATGGGAACCAGATGGCGGCCCCAGATGAAAATATGGAAGTGCGCAGAATGTGTGATGTCATTTGCTAAGGGAATGGGGAAAACAGCTTCTTCCACCATGCCCTTGTTTCACCCTTGCTCTGTATCTTCCAGTGTCAACGGAACGGATACAAGCTGGAAACCAATCTATTGCTACCATACCTTCAGGAACCAGGAAGCTAAAAGCAAATCCCTGTTACTTGCTTTTGGCTCATTCATGCTACAGCTTTAGGATGCTGAAAAAGTTGTGCTTTTGCATGTGGGTGGGATACTTGTCTGAATGGATTGTGTACTCAGGCCTTTGTTTTTAGTGCTTGATCTGCACCCATGTCATTATGCTGCTGCTTTTCAAACTATTCACGGTGGCATGTACTAGGTGTGATATGTGATGTTCAGGTGGCAATTTTCCATCATCACATACATGTTTATTCCAGGTGAAGGTGAAAATCCAACCTCAACTGCATAGAAACCCAAAAGTAGTTGTATGAATTGGGTCTGTATATTTGGTTATGATGTTTAGTTCTGATTATTATTACCTAGGGTGGATCCTTTCCTTCCTCCAAAATGCTTGGGGTTTTCCCAGCTCATTTTATTCGCATGATAGTCCTGTGAAGTAGGTTGCTCTGAGAGGCAGCAATATTTTCCAATGAGTTTTATGTCTCAGTGGGTCCCAGTCCAACACTTTAAGCATTACATCACATTGGCTCTCAAGGAATGGAGAGAGGCACCCAGCAAACCGCTAAATATAGGCCATGTTTGCACCTAGGCCCTTTCCAGCAATCATAGAAGATTGCTGAAGATGTGGAATTTGTAAAAGTGGAGGCAGGAATTTATTTATGCACTGCCTTTTTGCCAAAGTTTCCTGGCATTGGAGGATAGGTAGGTGCAAGCAGGGTGAAAGAAGATGGACTTTGCCTGCTTCAGTTCTGGTTTCTGAAATTCAAACAGAGCTTTTTGCGGTGGATATAGGGGAATGTTATTGAGTGGGAAAGAAGAAAGGAATTAAAGAATTGCAAGGAGAAACAAGATTGACTTAGTCTTTGTGTCTCCTTTCCTTCAGGAATGGACGTATACGTACAACCAGCAGATCCGCTACCAGCAGCTGTGTTTGTCCATCCACACCCTCTTTCCAGGTTCCCAGGTGGTGCTCCTGCCTTGCAAAGAAGGGGATGGCAAGCAGGTGAGGCCAGTCTTCTCCAGAGGCATCTGAAGAGTGAAAACACCACTCTTCCCATTACCAGCAGTGACATGAATATTCTCCCTGCATCATCCTATCAGAGTACCTCACACATACCTAAGAAAGCCAGCCACTCAAAAATAATTCATTAGTCCTGTTGCCTAGTCCAGGGATGGGCAAACTTCAGGCCTGTCTGATCTCCATTGTGGTTCTACTACAACACTCTGGACAACCAACTGAAATCAGGTGTAAAATGTGGCAGGGAGATGGAATTTGCTTCTAGTGTCAAAGCTGAGATCACAGTCCTGTCATACAGAAATCTTCTCCTTCCCACCTTGCATTCATCTGTGGCCTGTGTTAAAAGCAGGTGGACTTCCCTTGCAAACCATCTAGATATCTACCAATAGATTCTTGATCTACCTGTTGCTTGCCTCTGGCCTATGCAACACTGCACACTTGATGCAAAAACAAGTCTGTGAAAGGATGACATGGTCACTGACCCGTAAGCACTTGAAAGTTGTCAGAAATGAGCTTGTTTTGCTTGGCTAAAGCAGACTGAACGCTAATCAAGTACTGATTATCCCAAACCAAATCCATGAGCCAAGTGCACATGCTGGTCAATGATCACATAGGCTGAGCTGTGTCCAGCACAGAATCAAAGAGAAGTTATCAAAGCAGGAGCATTTCCTGAGCAAATTAATGCAGCAAAGCGCTCACACTGGACAAGCACGGTTACCTTACTGCACTGAAGTATGGACAAGTGCCAGAATTATCCCATCAGGAATTTTTAGGGTCTCTCGTTAACCAGTATGACCTTGAAATTCTTATTGTCCACATGGAGAATGTAGCCACACACACATCAATGGTGCCCCTTATTCTAGCTTTGCTTGTGCCTTTTTAGGGTGACAGTAGATTTTAGAGGACAGACTTTCAGCAGCTTTCGCATTATTGTTATACACAAAAGTTGGAGATCTGGCGGCATCTGAAATGGGAGCTGCTGAATTTTACTATAAAAAGTCCATTCTTTGTTCATCCTATTGACAAGCAGCTATGGGTAGCCATATGCTATGGAACATGCACTATGAACCAGCCCTAGGTTTCACTTCTGAAGAGCAAATGAGCAATGTTTATGCTACATCCCTGAAGCTAGAATAAGCATGAGATCACGTGGAATAGCAAAAACACTTGGGTAGAGCTGATTTCTTGATGTAAAGCCAGGCAGGGGCTGCATGGGAAACACTGGGAAATGTAACCGTTTTAATTTGGAATACTAATACTAATAATTTAAAAAATATTTCAAAGAGTCAGCCACCAGCAAATCATCATCAAGGTGCATCCTGTCTGGCCATTTTTCTTGTGGTATTATCATAATCATAATCATACCACCCAATAGCCAAAGCGCTCTAGCCAATTCACAGCAGTTTTGTTCCAGCAAGTTTGATGAGAAGGCCAGCTGCCAAGACAAGGGAATCTTTTTCCATTTCCCAGTGATCCGTGTGAGTGAAGAGCATCCCTAATCTTCTGTGAATTTAGTGAGAACTTCAAGTCCTCAGTCTCTCAGGATTACAGTAAATGACTTTTTCAAGAAATGGCCACAGTCTGCACGCATGTGAGGTGTTGTGCCCAGTGAACTTTTGCCCTGAAGTTTCTGATACGATCTTCAAGTTGGTGGTTATCTCAGTGTAATTTCCTACCTTCAGTACAGTACCTCCTTCTTGTTTGCGGGAAAGCAGTTCATCCCACCTGTTGGTCTAATGTTAGCTAAAAGTTGCTAGTCTCATCACCAATATCATATACTATGAAATGTTGACTTGCCACTACTGTCCTGAAGGCTGTGTAGTGAGTTCTACTTACTCACTTTATGCTCCGTGTGCAAATTTGTTCAACTGTAAACATGCTGTTGATACACCAGGACTGGGACAACCACACTAAGATAGATATCATGCTGGTGATATGGTTGATCCCATCCTACAAGAACATAGATGAAGCCTTGCTGAATCAGAGCAAAGAGCTCCTAGACCAGCATTCAGTTCTTGTAGGGTTCACTTCAAAGACCAGCCTTCCCCACCTGGTACCTGCCCTATTGGAGTAGAGCCTTATCATTCCTAGCCAGAAGGATCAGTGACCAGTATCGCAAGAGTACTGGGTTGAGGAAAGGCGGTCAGACTGTGATAATATCTTCTTCGCTAGTCCAGCACAGTGGGGCAAGACGTATTGCATTTAATTCTTTTGTATTTCTTTTTCTTCTTCAAAAGCGATGGAACAAAGTTGGCTCCCACATTGAACACATGGCCACACGTTACTGCCTGGACACAGAAATGATGGGGGACACCAATGAGAACATGAGAGAAGTCGTCATTAACCCTTGCGAGAGCACGGCAATGAGCCAGCGGTGGGAGATGGTGATGTCCTGACCCCCACCCCCCGCCAATATCCATGGCCAAATTCAGCCAGGAAGACCTTTGTCACACCAGGAACCGCCAAGTCTTGGGGGCAGGGCGGGGCTTGCCTGAAGTGAGGCAGAAGCCAAAGAATCAGAACACGCAGCTGCGGCTAGGTTGAGGAAAGCGCGTCAGTGCTGACTCCCAGAGCTACAGCAGCAATCATACCCATGCAGTTTAAGAAAACCACAACATTTAGGCTGGAAAAGTACTTCAATGACACTCATCTGTTAGTTGAAGCAGAAGATGCTTTCCTTGTTTTGAAGAGAGCATCTGCTGAAATTGGTAAATGCAGTGCTTATTGTCCTCATTCCCAAGGCTGCAGAAAAGCTTCAGAAAACTGTAAACGGGGAGCAGCTTCTAATGGGAGACGGGTAGGGAAGGAATAAGCCGGGTGTTCTGGGGGCACAGAAATGGGCACATTGGAAAGGACGAGCAGAGTGGGCCAGCTGATCTTGCACTTTCGATTGATGCAACTGAGCACATCTCTGGAAGAGGACTGGAGTAAGCTATCTTGCACATTATAATTTGTATGTGACCCATGCACTTCCTGTGAGCGAGACACTGTATATGTGCAATGAGAGGAAAATGTGTGTGTGAGAGAGAATGAGAGAGAGAGCGCATATGTCGCTTATCTGAGAGCTGGTGTTCAAAATGGACAAATGCATACAAGACATGGAAATGTTAGCTGTACTGTCTCTGTTGTCAAGCCTTCCTCCAGGTTTGGGAAGGGGACCCTGGCCTGGAAACCGTACTCAGTGGGTGGCGCGAGAGAGGCGCATACCCAGTGCCCTCCGTTCAGCTGTCCATCCTGGCATTCTCCCAGGGTTCGCGTACAGAGCCCTCTGGGAGAACTTCACACAGGGCAGGTGATGGCAGGAAGAGAGGCTGATCTCTCCAGGTGCCCTGTGTCAAAAGTAAGAATAGCAAGTCTTCACACTTGGTCCCCTTCAATAGCTTTGGCACACGGCCCGGGTTGTCCATCTGTCGCATGGGCTGTGCTGCTCTTGCGTTGAATTTTTCATCCTGCGACTACCCCACTAAGACTGAGCACTTGAAATGGCTGTAGCCATTTGGAGAGGGTGGGATACTACCAGCATTGCTTGAGGGTACGAGATGCTTTCCCCTCCAGCCTGCAGCCTCACTGTGGCCTCTGGCTTTCTCCTGAAGAGCAAATCCCTGCAAACTGTGCTGCTCTGGAGACCAGAGTGGGGGGAAAGAGAAGCAGTCGGTCATGGAGGGCCCCGAACTCAGGCTCTGCCTGGGCAGTCGGGAGGATGGGAACGCCATTCCAAAACCTAAATTGGAGTGCAGCTCCTCCTGACATCTGGGGAAGCAGTCCAGCATTTCCAGGCCACTTATGAATTTGGACTCGGATAAGTACGCTCATTGTCTCAGGCAAAGCAGCTCTTGTCAAGCCACTGTCTAGTCTGAGCAATGCTACCAGCCTGTGTGTGTGGTGAGAGACTGAGATAGGAACCGATAGGGGAGGGCTGATTAACACTGTTCCTTGTCCCATCTCAGGGGGTTCTTTGATGAGCCTAAAACCACCTGCTGATCCTCTGGAATTGTATCATGTGTCTCTCACTGTTTAAAGTCCTTGGAATAGGGAATTTTCGCATAATCATAAAAATGATATTTTGCTACTTGAAGGCCCCTGTCTCATGTTTCTCTGTGCGCCAGTTTTCATTCTGCAGCACAGCAGCCTGTGCTGCACAGAGAAGGGGGAGAAGGGAGTGCAGCTACAAGTATTTAAGTAATTTCCTCGCTCGAAATGGACGAGTTGCTAATTTACCAGGCAGTGCCAAGCTAGAAGTCTGTTAAATGCCCTACTCTGCAGTGTGCCCATCGAATGAACATTTTAGAGGACTGGGGCTGCATAGAGGAGATTGTGCTGGTGGTGGTAGTTTTACAATCAAAAGAGCATTGACAGTTTATTCTGACGTAAGGAAATACATGCAGCATGTGGGTAGCCCCTGAAGGGACAACCAAGATGGAGTCTGCAGGATGTTTTTATAACCTATTACTTACCCACAGAGTTTGGAGGGAGGGGAGAATCATGTGGGCTGTTGGCTAGGAGCACATGAGAGTAAAACAAAAGGGCTGAATGGATTAAGACTGACAACATAAGCAGGAGTTGTTTCAGGGCAGGTGTGAAGATTGTAGGGCTCTGGGTTTCACGCATCAAGGAACCTCACTGGCAGCTTCAGGTTCTCAAAACAAAGTGAACTGTGGAAAAGGTGTCAGTAGTTCCATCTGAGTCAAAATTAATGATGGACAAACGCCCTTCAACTTGATTCCAAATAGGCTGTGCTTATAATAGCTAATTTCTATACTCACTATCTTCCTCATCAGGAAATAGTTGGGTTTCTTCCAAGCCACTTCTCAGATTCAGACATCCTGTGGGGCTCCTGATGCCGACTGTGTGGGCCATGCCTGCCGTTTCCCTGAACTCCTCTATGGATCCCTGAGCCTTTTCCTGCTTCTTCCTTTAGGCAAGACTTGTGGTAGCAATGACTGGAGGACTTGTCCAGCCATCCAGGGAACCTGACATGGCAGCATCCACTTTGACTGTGATGTCAAACATGGTAAAGAATCTAAAATACGAGATCAGCCTACTTACTGATGTGCCTCATGATTCATTGCTGAGGAAGGAATCAGATACGAGACCAAGAAGATCACTGGGTTGGCTTCACACCAAACAAATTAGGCATGACTTAAGGCCCATTGACTTCACTAGGAACTAAGTTCTTCTAATTTATCCCACATTCTTACGCATTACTTGGAAGGAAAACCTACATTTGCTCTGTTCACACATTCTTCCTGTGTTAGGGCATGAGATGACATGCTCCAGCCCCTGCCAGCCTCTGCTGACGCTTGGAGGGTGTGAACACGACAGCCTGGAAAATCAGTGCTCTTAATCACACTGACAGTCTTTGTGACTCCAATAAGCGCTCCCATTTAGACCGTCACCCTCCACATGTATGGAGGGGAAAGGGCAGGTTTGAAGTGTAACAACTGAAAATGGACTACACTTCCTTACACATTAACATGAGGAAAAGAACGCATGAAGAGGGCTTCTGAACTAAAACCTGTGTATTCAACCCTATGAGTTTTTCTACCCATCTTTAGCACAGGAAGATGCACAAGCCATTTCCAGGCATCCGATTAACATGTAAGATTTGAGTGAAAAAATAACTTTGGAACAGCCGTTTCATCTCAGAAGTGGTGTGGAACAGCTTGGCAGGATTCCTGTGTGCATCTCACAAACACACACACAGACACCACTAGGATTTATTTTCATGGTGTCGGCATTAAGTAAACTATCTAAACTCATTCTTTCCTTTAATCTGGAATATATGTCAGATGCGAGCCTTGGTACTGTTCTAGTTCCTGAAGCAAGTCATCCAGAATCTTGAATGCCGGCATAAAAGCTCACACTGCCTTTGAAGGAAGCTGGGTAGATAAATTACTTTAATGATATAGGCCTAAGGTATAATGCACTTGAGTTGTGGGGAGATGTACTTGAAATTGTCAACCAAAAGTATATGTGAACTAATGAGGAGAAATAGAGTTTTTAAAGAGGAAATGGTGCACACAATGCCACTGAAATATGGCTTGTCGCACCAAAGCAAACAATTTGTCTTCCATCAGTCTCAGGTTCATCTGAAAGCAATGCTGCTGAAAATGGATTTTATTTATTTAAGTTTACATGCTTTTCTAGTCCCAATGCTTGAGATGATAGCTGCTTTAAAAAAAACATAAAACGTTTTATTTTTCACTGGTGTTTCTTCCCTACCCTCTAAGTGCATGAGCGTTTCTACCTCATTTCCTTACAAAGTGAACTGGGAGTGCTATATGATGGCTGCTAGAGAAGAATTCAGAGTCTAAGCTCTGACCTTGAAAGTTCATCCTGCTGTCAAAGGCAGGGGTCCAAACTTGGAGCAACTTCCCTCTTCCACGCAGCCAGAGTGGAGACTGCTGCAGCAGAACGGAGATTTGTGGGCATGCCAGGGGATGAGGCAAGACTCTGTCAGCATAGATTGCATCCTGGTGGTACCTCAGCTGCATCTCCTTATGCCTCGGGATAAGACGCTGGCCAGAATCAGCAATCCAAGGAGGGGGAGCTGAAGAGCGGAGGTGACTTGCCTTCTGTCCTCCATAGAGTGACCATAATCCTTTTGAGCTCAGAGGGTTAGGGCAGCCTCATTGAATTGCCCTACTCAATAAAAATTACCCACAGCTCACGACATGAACTTCGGGGTGAGGGTGGGGGCGGGGGTGCTGAGCTGAGTCCCCTAAATCCAAGGCACTTTAAGATGCTACTTTTGAAGAAGTTTCAAATTTTTTAAGTTGTGCTTTTTTAAAAAGCACTCGTTTTGTGAAAGTACATGGTAATTTAGGAATTTCCAGGCTTTTTTGCAGGGAGAATATATGCTTCAGTGCATGTTCAAGGTTGCAAACAGAGCCTTTTCAAGGGCTTTGTGAACTGAAATCCTATTACTGCCCTTGCGATAGATCATATGTTGCAGCCAAAATAGCTTGTAAACAAAAACTGACATTCTGTCTCATGGCTGCTGCCACTAGATAACTGAAGTTGCATAGGATAATATCCATTTGGGAGCCTGCACTAAGAATAGCCAACATGATTTGTGGCTATTTATTACACAGATGCCAGGCTAACCCTTGATCTGAATGTCTGCTTTATACATCCCCCCCAGTGCAGAGCCCTTATATCCTAACCACTTAGCACATTTGCTGGGGATTTTTAGCTTGAAAGATCAAAGCCATTGTAACCCAAAATTGATTTTCCTCTACAAGAGTCATTCGAAGAAAAACCAATTTGGTTTGTATAAAGTACATTCAATGCAATGAGAAATACCTGGTATCACCTTTGAAACCACTTTTTGCCCCACCATGAATAACAAGCGGCACACTAAAGGGGAATTCTTACACCTGATCTGATCTCTATCCATCCATGAGATAACAGTGAAATTCGATGAGCTTATTTGCTCCAGTGCAGGACATGGGTATCATATTTCATGATCTGGCTATATGGCTCTCAGGGTACCTGCTGGTGCCACTCACAGATAGGTAAACCAGCAGAGATGTTGAAAAGGAAGCGTTGGCAGAGCCTCCGTTACTGCCTAGAACCGAGCAACCTGCTGTTAGTGCCTAGAATCAAATCTGCTGGAAATAATGTCTTCCTGGATCTAATCAGAGGAACAAGTCTGACCTTAGGGAGGAGCTCGGTGGGTTCAGCCTTCCAGGGGTCCAGCAGAATGATGTGGATCATAGAGGGCTATGTGCTGACCATGCTATCATTATAGAATGATGCCGTCAGTGTAACCTTCAAGCACCAGTTCATCTTGGAGCATCTTTGCTGGGCCCCAGCAACCCTGCCCCATTGGAGTTCAGAAGCCTGTAAACACTGGATTTCTTGGTTTCAACGCAGTTGTCTGTTGTGTTCAGGTTTCGATCTGACCTTTGTCTTTTACTCCATCTCCTGCTAAATCCCTTGCCCTTTGTCGTGGCCCCTGTGGCAGCCTTCTGTGATGACTTTGTCAAATTGCCAAATGTACCCATGCTCCCCACAAATTTGCCTACCTCTGCTTAGGCATTGCTTAAGAATATAAGAAAGGTTTTGGCTGCATAGTCTGCCTGAGTAAAAATGTTCTTGCTTGCCAGCAAAAGGATAACAGAGATGGTGCTCACTTTGAGAGGGAATCCAGAGGCATGGAGCATCAAATGGGCAGTCAGTCTTTGGCTTTCCTGTCAATTTTTTATTTTTATTTACATGGATATACTGCTCCAGTAGCTCTTCAAACATTCCTCTGATAGTAGTGGGACAGAAGGAAGGGCTTGGTGTACAAATCTAAAAAAGTGGGTCCTAGATCAAACCAAGCCTAGAAGCAGCCAACTTTACCTAGAAGCAAAGCAGATGAATCTGGAGGTGTCATATTTTGGGCACTTGGTGAGAAGGCAAGACTCACTGGGAAGGAGTAATGCTAGGGAAACTCAAGAAGAGGAAGCCCGACTATGAGAGGGGTGAATTCCTTAAAGGAAGCCACATTGCTGAGCTTACAGGTCTGACTAGGGCTGTTGATGACAGGATCTGTTGGAGGGGATTCATTCCTAAGTTCCCCGTAAGTCAGAGATGACTTGATGGCACTGACAACAGTGGGCTCAGAATAGAGAAAATGATTTCTGAGGCAGCCTGAGCTGGTCCTAAGCTGTATAGGGAATCATATGTTCTAACCAGCCCTTCAAACTGTGCCCAGAACCAGATGAATGACACTGTTCTGTCCTTCGTACAACCAGCCCCATCGCTAGGCTGGCTGAAACAAGAGCTGAGTGAAATCTCAGAGGCAGGAGACAATACAGGTCACCATCCCATGATACTTCCTCCAAGCACAGGCATTTAGGAAATGCAGCACTGAAGTCCATTTCTAGTTCACATACCAAACATTCATTGATAAAACCATTCTTTGTGAACTAATCCAACCCTTTTTAATGGTCTCATATGAAATCTTGTGGCAATTTCATGAAATGCCCAACAGTTGTGCAATGCATTGCCTTCCTCGCTGAAACCTGCTGACCAACATCTCACCGAGTTCTAACATTTTGGCTTCCAGTGTAAGCAGAGCGTCCC